AACAGCATCATATCAAGCACTATAAAGCACCTGAGAGAGGATCCGTGCCAATTCTAAATGTCCTCCCCCGAACAGAATGACCAACAGCATATATATATGGTTCTTGTTGTTGAAACAGGAGACAGAGCATATGGTTCTTTTTAAAATGATCTCATCTATTTGGACCTAAGAGAAGAAGGGAGAAAGTGAGAGGCCCCCTTCCTATGGGAGCAAAGGGCCCCCCTGGTTCACATTCCTATCCCCTGCACAAACAGCGCACACAGGGCACTCCTAGATACTTGGAACTTCAGACATCAGCTTATACTCAATGTTAAGAGTGTTTTTACCTTCTTCTATAAAAAGGTTCCTTTCTAAATATACTTCAATTGAGAGAGACTAAATTTGGCGCAGGTGACGTCAGATCTGCCAAAGGTCCAATCAGAGTTAGCAACATGTATACGTTAGCTACTTACGTTCCTCTCCCTCACATAAAGTGACTGCTCTCCTGCTGCTCCGAGTCCCAGCCAAAACTCCCAGCAAGTAGGTTATTTGAGCTTTTCTAAATTGGTTAATGGTGCTTGTTATAAAGGTTTACTACACCGTTGTTTGTAGTGTAGCCAGGCCCTTCCTACCTATGTTAGCCACCTGCTGCAGAATCTGTACTAGTGTCCCCCTGTGATTGTACTTTACAGATGCATAATAAGGGACATGAGAAATTTGTCCGCAGTGTCAACAAAGTCTGTCTTAGTAATCCCGCAGTTAGTTAGCTATGGATTACAGATATAAGATGAAAGCCTGAGTTCTTAAACATTAGCTGCAAAATGTAAATCTTTAAAATGACCATTAGACAGCTTAAAATAGACCATTACACAGAAGAGTGAAATGGTCTGTTTTTCTGGGGGGGAGTGGGGGGGGTCATGGGTCATGGATTGGCGGTGTTATGGGTTGTTTTTGTTGTTTGGAAGATGCCACTGTCAATCATTTTGTATTCAGACATGCCCAAACAGGAGCTTTAATTAGACCAATACTGAACCACTGGTATGCATGTCAACATTTCAAATGCTGATTGCTTTTTACAAAGTCTGGTTACACTTTCCTGCTATACACACACAAAATTTAGGTGCACTTCAAGCCTCTAAAATACCCCAATTTACAAAGCACACTGGCCAGCTTCCAACTACCAGAGAGTCTGCATTGCCACTCCACTAGTTTAAGAAAATGCCTTTATCCTTCAAAAAGACAGGGAGCGTTCTGAACAATATCCATCGCTGCCCTTGGCTTCTTTAGCCAAATGTCACATCGTACTTTATAGTAATGTACGTCATCAATCTCTGTGAGTGAATGGGCCTAATCGAGTAGGAGACAGCATTCTTAGCATGTGCCGCATTTAAAGCGACACAGCCCTCGTCTTCTTGAGCAGTAAAAGCAGCAGTGCTGGTTAAATCCTACATCTGACATGAGTCAAATTTTGCAGGAACACCATCAGTGCATGATTTTAATGTCCAGAAAAGGCTGTTTTACTTTGTGATATGCACTCACCAACCCCACTATTGCTGGTGTACAGTTAGAGACTGTAGCTTCTCTGTTGTGCTAGCTATCCTCTAGCCCATCATCAGTGCTCAGCTTCTGACCACAGAGCTGCACTTGGCTGGATATTTTTGGGTAGTGGACCACTTTCAACCTAGCAGTGACACTGATGTTTCTAAGAACTCTATCAACACTGCTGTATCTGATATATCTGATCTCACACCAGCACCACACATACTATCATGATCATTTGTGTGCTGCACTGATAATGATCAACCTCCAGATTGCTTCTATAGTTTTCTGCCAGAAATGTGTTCAAAATCGGCACAAAGCAAAAACAGTCTAAGGTCATTTCAACCATAATACTAAATTTTACAGTGTTTAAGGAACATGGCATGAATAATTAGCTTCTGGGTACATTACCAGCTGGACAAAGAAACATAGAACATGAATAATTTAAATAAGATATTTAAATTATTTGAAATAGGTGTTGATCTCAGCTTGCACAAACCGCACAAATGCTTTCAGAGTATTAACACTTCATTTAACAATTTCGTTTATTTATATAACACTACTGAGATCAGTAGTAACACCTTGTTTTGCATTCTTTTTCAAATTAAGACAAATTTGTTCTAATTTTATCAGCAGAACAATTTTAATAACTGTAAAATCCTTGGAATGTTTGATACTTATGAATTTCAGAATTTCTTAGTGCTTTTGCTTTGATGATGATTTAACTCAAGTGGGCATGGACTCCATAAGATTGTGCAAAAGCTTATGATGAGTAGGTCAAGTCCACCTGAGAGTCATCAGAACACATGATTCAGTAGAAGTGATGACCCCAAAATCTTTTATCTTAAATTTTCAAATTCTAAGACTTTCTGATGTTTATTTGTAGGTTTAGATGACAAAATTCTCAGATTTTCAATGTAGTCTTAGACTTCTGGACTTATTTATTTGCTGATGTTGTTTATGATAGCACCCAGGTGCCCATGTGATTACAAAGACAAATTAATAGCAATAAGCATAGCAAGCATAACTATTCCTCATACACATTTTTAAAAACGTGCTTACCTTAGACAATACCAGACAGATCACAGGCTAGTCCAGTTTCCAACTATTGCAGAACAGCATGCAGTCAGTAATGCCACGTGAACTGGATAATCTATGCCATAAACTGCTATAATAAACTTGGTAGGCTAAACGCTGACATGAGGAGAAATTAGCTCTGTTCAAATTACAGCCGCATTATTAAGTAATGTAGTTTATTCATTTCATATACTTTTTTCAACCAGCCAGAATCATGACAAACCAGCCCAAAGTCTGACCAAGCGCCAAAGCACCTTTCTCATTACTGAATCTAACCAAAATCCTCACAATTTGTTCATCACCCAAAAACACCTGGTTGATCAGCAGTCCTGCAGTCAGAAACTGACCAATGAGGAATGGGTTTGAGGGGCGCTGACTGACTGAGTATGACAAGAAGATAGTAAGTATCTAGGTAGTCTGTAATTTTACACCCTTATAGTGGACCAATAAAGTCAGTGGAGCTTGTAAAGTAGCCAGTGAGTAATAAAGTACCTTGTAAATGAAGTACAAGGTAGGTGTTTCCAATGGAGTAGATGTTACATAGACTAAGCTGTTCATTCTGGAAGTTAGATGTAGCAAGTAGATCTACAACCCCATTTCCAAAAAAGTTAGGACGCTGTGCAAAATGTAAATAAAAACAAAATGCAATGATGTAAAGATCAATTATACCCTATATTTATTTGAAAATAGTACAAAGACAACATATCAAATGTTGGAACATTTTTTGAAAAATATATGCCCATTTGGATTTTGATGCCAACAACACGTTCCAAAAAAGTTGAGATGGGGGCAACAAAAGGCTGGTAAAGTTATGTAATGCTAAAAAAAAATCACTGCATGGGCTCAGAAACACTTCTGAAAATTACTGTCTATGAAAACAGTTTGGCGCTGCAAGTTAAAACTCAGAAACACAAAGGAGAAACTGCATAACTACATAAACAGGATCCAGAAATGCTGCCACCTTCTCTGGGCCTGAGCTCATTTAAAATGGACTGAGGGGAAGTGAAAAGTAGCAGCTGAAATCCTATAGCAAACAAGAAGGGGAAAACATTTCACTTTCAAAACTACAGCAATTGGTCTCGTCAGTTCCCAAACGCTTACATAGTGTTGTTAAAAGAAGAGGTGATGAAACACAGTGGTAAACATGCCCCCGTCCCAACTTTTTTGGAGCAAGTTGTTGGCATCAAATTCAAAATGGGCATATATTTTGCGAAAAACAATAAAATTTCTCAGTTTCAGCATTTGATATGTTGTCTTTGTACTAGTTTCATTTAAAAATGTAGTTTACATGATTTGCACATCATTGCATTTTATTTAATTTACATTCTGCACAGCATCCCAACTTTTTTGGAAATGAGGTTGTACTTAGAAAGCAGAAACTCACAATAACTAGCTAATGACATCTAAACTAGCCAATTAAATGAATACAGCAGGCATTTGTCCTGCAGCATTCATTTCAGGGTGCTGTTATTTAGTTCAGCTGGCTTACTGTTATTGTTTAGTGACACTTTTTATAGAACCTTCCAGCTGATAAACATCTCTATGCATCTGCTGAATTATTTAGTATTACATAGTAGATATTATTAATTGTAATATTACTGCATATGTATTAACTGAATATCAGAACAAAATCTTTTGTTTGTAATTTTCTCTAGAATGGAGCATTTCACACCAAACACTCTGAATGTCTTTGTTTACATCTTAGCCATTTAATTATGTAGAATTTGTGAAATGTGTTAGAGCTTTTGCTTACATAAAGGAGAACTCCATCGATTTTCCAAAAGTTCTACATAATTAAATGGTTAAAAAATGTCAACGATGGTTTGGTGTGAAATGCTCCATTCCACACCAAGTCAGAATTGTTCACAGTGGTGGTGATAGGAACCAGACGGATAGGAAGTGTTTATTCCTCTAAAAGAAACATCACAGAGAGTTATTACATGAAATTGTATATGGGGATGTACATGCAGGGTGTTGTGAGGCAAAATTGGCTATGTTTGCACTGTAGACATGACCCCTGGTTCCTATCACCAACACTGCAAAGAAATTTGAGTCAGTTTCTCTATAATTATATAAGTAGTCACAAGTAACTACTCTGAATGACTTCGATAAGCTGCTATTTCAGGTAATTTTGGACAACTTCTAATGCTCCATTTATCATGAACCAACACAATAAAGGGCAGCTTGTGCTTTCAAATGAGGGAAAAAAATAAATACGGCAGCTATGATGTTTTCATATTACAGTTACAATATGCATGTTTAAAAAGTGCTAATTATTATAATTTGCTGATAAGATTTCATTTACCACTCTAACAAGGCTTCATCTACAGGGTGCTGTTACAGCGTAATTAGTTCACCAAGGCCCCAGCAGTGACGGTTTGTTGTTTCTCACTTGTCGTCTGCAGAGGAGGTATTGGATTCGGGTTGTGGAAGCCTGGGACAGCTGAGCGGAGACTCGGGGGAGTTCAGCAGTGGGAATTATCCAAGCAACTACAATACCGGAATGAGCTGCAGCTGGCACATCACTGTGGAAAACAATAAGGTAGTGACCCAGATGACTGAAAAGCCAGAAAACTGCGTGAAGGAATGTAAAGCTCGGTTAGATTTTAGAGGAGAGTCACTTAAATTTCATTTTTCTGTATTTGTTTAAACAGTAACTGGTAAGTTTGAGCTAGCTGGAGCAAACATATAGAAGAGCTGCTTAAACCAGAACAAAAGGGAAATATGCCAATGCAGTAGAGAGGAAATAGAAGCATGTGTGATTCTTTCTGTGTCTTGAATTGAGAAGTGCTTTGATTAACTACAAGTAGAGGCAGTTTATGGCTTCATTTCAAAAGACCAATCATGCACACTCTCGGCAAGTGGGTGGCACTGATTTATCTATAGGTTCTGATACTTAGCGGTGATAGATCTATAGATATTGATATTTAGCAGTGATTGATCTATAGGTTCTGATACTTAGTGGTGATAGATTTGTAGATATTGATATTTAGCAGTGATTGATCTATAGGTTCTGATACTTAGCAGTGATTGATCTATAGGTTCTGATACTTATCAGCGATTATAGGTTCTAAAACTAGGTAGTGACTGATCTATAGGTTCTGATACTTAGCTGTGATTGAGCTATAGATATTGATATTTAGCAATAATTGATCTACAGTTTCTAAAACTAGGCAGTGATTGATCTATATGTTCTGATACTTAAGAGTGATTGATCTATAGGTTCTGATATTTAGAAGTGATTGATCTATAGTTATTGCTACTTAGCAGTAGCAGTGATTGCTCTGTAGGTATCGATACTGACCAGTGATTGATCTATAGACATTGCTATATAGCAGTGATTGACCTATAGGTATCAATACTTAGCAGTGATTGATCTATAGATATTAATACTTGGCAGTGATTGATCTATAGATGTTGATACTTAGCAGTGATAGATATATAGGTATTGATACTTAGCAGTGATTGATCTGTAGGTTTCGATACTTAGTAGTGATTGATCTGTAGGTATCGATATTTAGCAGTGATTGATCTATAGACATCAAACCTTAGCAGTGATTGATCTATAGGTGTCGAGACTTAGCAGTGATTGATCTACAGATATTGATACTTAGCAGTCATCATCATTGTTAACTGACCGGAGGAACACGGTCATAAGCCTTCTCCAAATCCACAAAACACATGTAGACTGGGTTGGCAAATTCCCATGCCCCCTCAACAATCCACGAGAGGGTGAAAAGCTGGTCCATTGTTCCACAGCCGGGACAGAATCCGTATTGTTCCTCCTCAATCCGAGGTTCAACTATCGGTCGAAGTCTCCTTTCTAGCACCTTGGCATAGACTTTCCCAGGGAGGCTGAGCAGTGTGATACGTCGATAGTTGGCACACACCCTCCGGTCCCCTTTCTTAAAAATAGGAACCACCACCCCGGTCTGCCAGTCTAAGGGTACTGTTCCCAAGGCCCATGCAATATTGCAGAGGCGTGCCAGCCACGACAGCCCCACAATATCCAGAGCCTTAAGCATCTCCAGATGAATCTCATCCACCCCCGGTGCCTTGCCACTGAAGAGCTTGCCAACTACCTCAGTGACCTCCACCAGGGAAATGGAGCTTGACACGCCAGAAGCCTCTGGCCCAGACTCCCTTGAGGGAGGCATGCCTCCTGGATTAAGGAGTTCCTCAAAGTGCTCCTTCCACCGACTGACAAGATCAACATTTGAAGTCAGAGTTTCTCCACCCCTGCCGAATACAGCTAGGGCGCAGCCACCCCGACTGCTCCTGAGTCGTCGGACAGTTGTCCAGAACCTCCTTGAGGCCGACCGAAAGTCTTTTTCCATGGCTTCTCCAAACTCCTCCCACGCCCTGCTTTTGCCACTGTTGCGGCTGCCACCTTTTTTGCCTGTCGGTACCTATCTGCTGAGTCAGGAGTCCTTCGGGCCATCCAGTCCCACTTGCTCCAAGAAGGCTGAATACTCAGACCTGTTGTTTGGTGCATAAGCACACACAACAGTCAGTTTTCCTCTCTGCGATTTTAATTTGCATTGAGGCGACCCTCTCGTCCACCGGGACAAACTCCAACTGCACGGCTGCCAGCCGGGGACTCGTGAGTATCCCCACACCCGCCCGGTGCCTCTCACCCTGTGCAACCCCTGAGTAGGAGAGGGACCAACCCCTATCAAGAAGTTTGGTTCCAGAGCCGACACTGTGGGTGGAGGTGAGCCCAACTATATCTAGTTGGTACCTCTCAACCTCCCGCACAAGCTCCGGCTCCTTCCCCCCAGTGAGGTTACATTGATACTTAGCAGTGATTAATCCATAGATATTGATACTTAGCAGTGATTAATCCATAGATATTGATACTTAGCAGTTATTGATCTATAGATATTGATACTCAGCAGTGACTGATCTGTAGGTATCGATACTTAGCAGTGATTGATCTATAGACATTGAAACTTAGCAGTAATTGATTGATAGATATTGATACTTAGCAGTGATTGATATACAGATCTACAGATGTTGATAGTTAGCAGTAATTGATCTATAACTTATAAAATTTAGCAGTTATACAGATTTATACAGTTGTATGCAAAAGTTTGCATGCCCTGGTCAAATCACATGACAAATGACAGAAAAAGTGTCCTGTACAAAATTTATGGCACATTTTATAATCTGTTTTATTTTTCCCAATATGTTAAACTTAGCAAATAAATAGAAATTGTGCACTAAGATGAGAATGCACTGGACTGTCAGGAAGCTAGTCAGCGGAGGATGAGAAAAATCATGGCAATATGCAAATACCATCAGGTTTCAATGAGATCAGCTTAAACTGAGCAATTAAATGTAGCATTTTAAAGTGATTTGCAATGATTAACTGACTGAATCCTTTTATATTCATCCTTTCTTTCCAGTCTCATCTTATCCCCTGTAGTTTATCCCCTACTGTTCATAATTGTGCATTGAATCTTTGAGGCAGCTCTTCCTCTGAAGCCCCAAGAGACCTATTACTGAAATAAACGTGCTACCAAATGAAGGGCTGCAGAGATATGCTGCATTTTATAACCAGTTAATAATATTGTAAAATGAATCCTGATATAGCAAAAAAATGAGGAGGGATCATTGAACTGGGATAATCATTTTTCATTTTTTCCTACATCTTTGTTTAAGTCCTAGCTGCTGAGTTTGAACAAGCTGGAGTGGAAGCACAGAAGAGCTACTTAAACAGGAACAAAAGGGTTTTATGCTAATGCAGTGGAGAGGAAATAGAAAGGAAAGTTCTGTGTCTTCAAAAGAGAGAAAAGGAGCCATGAAGTGATTAAATGTAAATACAGATAGCAAAGCTAAATGATTACATCACATACAAATGCAAACAAATGGGGCAAGTAAGTCATCCATCTGCTGTTTAGAGAAACCTACAGAGAGAGAGAGAGAGAGAGAGAGAGCATTTGTTTTGGGAGTGAATGGAGCGCAAGAGAAAAGAGAACAATCTATGTGCTCTTGTTTCTCCAGGTGATCCATTTATGGTTCCAAGACTTTTCTCTGGAGGATTCAGGCACGTGCAGTGCAGACTCTCTCACGCTCCGGGACAACCTGGGGATCATCGGTGAGGATTCTGGAAAAACCTACTGTGGTAGCAGTCTCTACTAAACACAGGAAATCAGTTAAACAGCATAGTCACAATTGAGTCTCCAAAACAATATGTTTATTTAAGAATCATGTCCAGAGAGACCCAGAGATCTCCACCTGAGATGATTACAGAACATTTGATAGTCCCCAAGAAGGGTGTTGGTGTGTTTCATTGGTCAGCAGAGTACAAAGACATTCAAATTCATTTATCCACTTAATCAGAGAATTCACTGGTTTCATTCAGTCATATTGCCACAGGTGTATAAAATCATGCACCTAGCCATGCAGTCAGTCTTTATAAACATTTATGAAAGAATGGGTCGTTCTAAAGAGCTCGCTGAATTAGAGCCTGGTACTGTAATAAGATGCCAAATTTGCAACAAGTCAGTTTGCAAAATTTCTCCCTCCTAGATTTTCCACGGTCAAATGTGAGTGGTAATATTGAAAAGCGGAAGCGTTTAGGAACCCCAGTAACTCAGCCACGAAGTGTCAGACCACATAAAGTTACAAAGCGGGTCGCTGAGTGCTGAAGCGCATAGTGCATAAAAGTCACCAACCCTCTGCTGATTCAATAACTGAGTTCAAACCTCCTCTGGCATCAACATCAGCACAACAACTGTGCGCCAGGAGCTTCATAGCATGGGTTTCCATGGCCGAGCAGCCACAGGCAAGCCTTATATCAACAAGCACAATGTCAAGCGTCAGATGGAGTGATGTAAAACATGCCGCCACTGAACTCTGGAACAGTGGAAACGTATTCTGTGGCATGACAAATCATGCTTCTCTATCAGGCAGTCTAATGGACAAGAAGGCCAGAAGAATATTACCTGCCTGACTACACTGTGCCAACAGTAAGGTTTGGTGGAGGAGGGATAATGCTATGACCTTGTAAATGCTCTTCTGGATGAATGGGCAAAACTTCCCACAGACACACTCCAAAATCTTGTAGAAATCTTTTTCCAGAGGTGTGGAAGCTGTTACAGCTGCAAAGGGGGGGGGGACTCCATATTAATACCTTTTGATTTAGAATGGGATGTCATAAAAGCTCCTGTAAGTGTAATGTGTAGGTCTCCCAATATATTTTGTCCATAAAGTGTAGGAAACCCATATATCATCAAAGTGCTCACCTCACTTCTGGCATATTAACGTTGTGGTGGCCTGTAGCTGCATTGGTCATAATCAGTGGTCCACTGTGGCTTTATCCTCTAGCTAGTCTCAGAATGAAACATCTTTGATACAGTTTATGTTTAAAGGTGAAGGCACCCAGTTCAAAGCCAATGTACAAACCAGAGTTTGGGTTTTTGTGTTGCTGTATCTGGTTGGATTTATACTGCAAGGCTAAAGTGCACCAAATTAAACACATGTTTTGGTTATCAGATCTTTCGCAGGGATACAAGCACCCTGTTACACTAATTTTTACCACTATGAAAGCAGAAAAAACAAAAGATTAGACAATTAACGTCTATGTTTATCACAATCAAAGAAGCAGGTCGCTGATGCTTGGCCAAAAATAAGTGGGCAGAAATCAAAGGCATTTCTTTGCTATTTTTTATTGCTCTGCTATTATTACCTGCAGCTCATTCTGCAGGAATAATATGAGCGTTTGTAAAGAGTAAAATGTTAAACAGGCAGATTATGCAGACAGTACAGTGCTGGAGCACTGAGTAAAGCAATGCGCTCTGGTGTTGAATTTTCCCATATGAAATCCATTCACACCAGCAGTGCACTGAAGCAGGGATCAATAGAAAAGAACTGAGACCTGTTATTTTTGCCACTGTTCACACATCAAAACAGACTAAGAACAGACCAAAATGGACTTCCCAGTTAATTCACAGTGTAGGAACATAAACGGTGACTAAGTGCATTCATTCATGTATCACAATAAAAGCATTTTTACCAGATTAGTGAGCTGCAGCTCCTCTCACTGAGCACAAACTCACAATGACTTTATCTCCAGCTGAAATTGAGATTTTAATTAGTTTTGACCATTAGTTTTGTTTTTTTTTAAATGTCTATAGGTCAGCGCTATGTAAACTTAAGTGTCCTGAGCTCAAACAGTGGTGGGTTGTCGCCCCAGTACTTTGAAGAGTGGTGGGTCAAATTCCTGCCCACAACCATGATTCCAGCTGCCCTGGTGTGATTAACTATAAAATCAATTTAATATCAATAAGTGAAATTTCTATTTTAACCATACTACACAGTAAAATGAGAGGTAAATGAGCTCCTGCAGAGTACCTAAAATCCCACTCATCCCACATACAGGACGCCATACACATGCTTAAAAAAGGGTACTTTGGACTTGTGCCATAGACAAGCCACTTTTCTAAAGAACCTTTTAATGAATGAAACACTCAGTTGAAAGGTACTTTAGCCCGGTGATATAACTATGCATATTCTCAAGATTCAATTTCATTTTGGGTATTTTATGTCTTGTTCCTACGGAGCTCTGATTATACAGACTGATTTGGCTGCAGCAGCACTCTAATAAAATAAACCACTCAAAATTGCAAAGTCTGCAATTTGTAAGTAACTTCCTAAAAAACTCAGTTAATTCAGAGTGGGTGTGTATGAGATAAGCCCCGCCCTCTTCCCAGCCTTTCTCTGATAGAACCAGAAGCCTAGTTTTGATCACTGACAGTGGTTTCCTAGATAGGCAGCACATAGGCAATACAGTTTTAAAGGGCCAGTATCATGGAAAATTTTATTTACCTCACTTTTTTACATAAAAATGCTTGCCATAAAATGTAAACATTTTCAAAAAAAAGCTGCAAAAAGTTTCAAAACGTACTGTGCAGTCCCCAGTCCATATATGAAAACAAACCTGAAAAAAGCAGCCTGTTTTAAAGTCATTATTTTTGTGATGTCATTAAAATCAGTGCATTTGCATATATCCACTTATTCAGCCTACAGCAGTGTAGCTCCACCCATTTACTCTGAAGCTGTAAGCAATGTTTCAACCCCTGCCTTTTTGAATGAGGCACGATATATGACAGCCAATCATTTATGTTATATCAGTCTTAAAATCACATTAACAAAAATACAGCCAGTTTCATTCTAAGGGATAAAGAGAGGCTGGAAAATGGTCATGTAAAAATGAATTATGGCTGTTTTTTGGTATCAAACTCCCCACAAATGTTATGAAAGAAAAAAAATAATTATGGCTGTTTTGGTACGTGAACCCACACAAATCATATGTATAGAAATCATTACACCCTTATTTTTGTTCTTTCATGGCACTGATCCAAAGCGCCTTTTTGGCACCTTTAATTTTAAGACTGTAATGTAATGATAGTAATGCTTTACTTAGATTTCTCTGCTCCTGCACGATCTTCTGTTAATTAAATCTTTGCTCTGAGACGACTGCAGCTTAACTGCTCCAGAGAATTCAATTGAACATGCTGATTGATTACGTAGACTGTCAGGCAGCCGGTGACCGTTGCAGCAATGACCTTTTATATATAGTCTGTAGGAGTTAATGTAATGCAGGAAGAGCTGCTTTTGACATTGTTGATTTTATTATGCAAGGCTGTTTTTCTGAGCGCAATGATCTTGAGCAGGAGTATTTCAGGAGTGAAAGCGTTTTCCGATGAATCAGAGGAGTGAAGGGTTGTGAGTGGGCAGTGGGGAATGCCTGCCCACATGTACTGATCACCCGCAGCCTCCGCTTTTACACACACTGCTGTGAGCTGTTGAATGGGCTTATTGTGCATCGGTGTTCACTACTCCAGGGGACTCTAATATGCTATGCTATGAAAGTCTTTTGACAAATTATATTGACTCTTATCAAAGCAAATAATGCTTCAGAGGTTAAAACAATTGCAGAACACTTTTGCTTGTTTTTGATAACTTCATTGGGTTTATACAGTAATTCCAGGTAGTTGCTAGGAGATTGCTAAGGTGCTGCTAGGCGATTCCTATGCTATACCAGGTGGTTGCTAAGGTATTGATAGGCCATTGCTATGTTATCCCATGTGGTTGGTAAGGTGTTCCTAGACTATTGCTGTGCTATCCCAGGTGGTTGCTAAGGTGTTATTAGGCCATTGCTATATTATCAAGGTGGTTTTTAAGATATTGCAAGGCTGTTACTATGGTGTCCAAGGTGGTTGCTAAGGTTCTGGTAGACCATTGCTGTACTAATCCTAGGTGGTTACTAAGAGTTTGCTAGGCCAATGCTATGGTATCCTAGGTTGTTGTTAAGGTGTTGCTAGCATACCTGCATGATTGTGACATAACAGGAGTTTCCAAAACCATTACAGAGTAAATAATGATGGAATAAGATGTAGAGGTATAAGATTGAAACAAGCAGATCAATGAATCCATTAACTGGTCTAGAACCTTTACATTGTAAGGACATTATACTTCTAAAGGCTATTCATATTCACACACATTCATGTCTTTAAAGAGCCATCTATTAAAACATTTTTGGGGCTTCTTTAGTAAAGGCAATCGTTCTACTTAGAACTTTAAGTTCTTTATAGAACTATTATATGCTTAAATGGTTCTTTTCATGGGGGAATTGTTCTTCAGATTGATGGAGAATGTGTTGTATGTGGTTATATATAGAACCTTTTTGCAAAAGGTTCTATGTAACACCAAAAAGGGTTCTTCTATTGTTACAAGCTTGACATTAAAAAAATAACACAATGATTTTTGGTGTTATGTAGAACCATAAACCTGTCATGGCAGTGTATTTTTGCTATGTGTACTCTATTTACCTCTTATGACATTAATTGCTGTGAGATCTGTCATGACAAGTACTGGTAATGGAAACGTGGCACTGTTATATTATTAAACAATATCTGTCATGACAACACATGACAGCAAATGGCATCTGCTCTGACATGTTTATGGCATTGTTGTTGTTGTTAATGAGTTGAGATACCATGAGATACCATTGGCACCAGTATGAAAAACCTCATTACTAAGTATCACAAAACTCTCTTTGCTTTGTCCACTTTCAATTGGTTTGAACTCTTT